GAACTATGTACAACGTTACAGTTTCATCATTATTAACGCCTGATGAACAAGCCTTGCTCGCCCGTGACCTACTGCGGATGTCGACAACACTCTACGTATGAGTTTAGAGCAATGAATGCCGCAATGTCTTAACAACTATGATGCCTTTTCCTACTTTTTCGGACTAAAAATTATACTCGGTAGATGGCCTTCCTCGTTCTTAGAAGATGAGGCTGGCTGCGCGACCGTTATCCCGCACGATCGGTCACACGTTGACTTTTGCCTTTATCGCGACCTTTACTCTGCACGGTCGTTATCCCGCACAATATGTTTACATTATCATCCTCATCCAATAGGGACTTTTCACGCACAATCTTGCCATCCAAGGTGTCCATTCAATCTTCATACACTGCGATGTTTTGCAATGCTGATATTTATCCGGTGTGGTCTTTTGATACATTACCTTTGTTTACAACCTTTTGCCATGTAATCTCCAGCCATATAATCTTGCATCGTGTTGCCATGGACCGACAATGATAACATTTTAGGGGCATTTAAGCATGCACAAAAGCGCTGCCAGGGAAGTCGGATGGCCGAATAAATTAGCATGCAGTAATGTGTTTTGCATATGTCAGATATGCGTTTTGCACATATCTGACAACAGATAAGAGTTCTAGAGTCCGGTAGATGAGAAGTGGCGTCGTGCTTCCTTTGATAACTGAGTGGTGCACGCTGGCGCAAAATGTGTTGACGGAGGACTTTCTGCGATGAATAAACTAGCCTCCGTATTTTACATTTATGCATCTAACAGCAAGGACAAACAACGCACTGATGCGTTCTCACCACCTCCTGCGTAACATACCAGACTAGCAATGGTCGCGCTTTTGGGATTGAGTCACTGAGACCTAATAAGCCGTCGGTATAACCTCGACTATGAGCGTATTCAAGCTGCTTTTTCAACCCGGATTTTCTGTAAAATTATTAGTTAGCACTGCCTTGAGGGTTTTTGCTTGTTGCAAACAAGTATCACGAGTAAATTGCCAAGCCTTAACTGACGATAAAATTTACCCGCTGAACTGGTCATTGCCACATCCGTCCCTGACACACAAGCGGCTCACATACTCTAGACGGGTGCCGAAATACATTAAGGTGATGTGTCGATTGTCTGACATTTGTCATTGTCACAGGTGCTCTCCCGTCCTTTTTCTCTATTGAGTGTGCCATTAGCTCCACGCTTTCAAAGTCAATGTGTCAAAACGCTGCCGTTATTATTTTGAGCCCCGAGAAGACTAAACTGACTCCAGTAGCTCCAGATTATGGCTGCGAAGTTGACCCGTTGGATATGATTTGTGTAAAAATTACTGCGCGCAGAAGGAGTTAAGGGAGCTGCCTCTATATGGAACTAGGTAGAGGAGATTTTGATGAATGGCTTGAAATACCGATATCACCGAAGGCAGCATATGTCCAGCTCTTTTTATAGGAATTGAGCAAGTTTAAAGTTTATGAATGTCAGCTCATAGTCTATTCGTTTATCATTATAAGTTTACGCTTTCATTATGTTGTAATTCTGGAGCCAGATTTTACACTAAAAACATCTTCAGGTAACATAGAAAGTTAACAGCGCATCATGGCACCACATATTGACATTTCTGTATTGGCTAGATGCTCAAATTTGCGTGCAAGCGTAAAAAGCTTCAGGTATAACAGTTTTGTTTCATCTGAGAACCACACAGCTTGTTAGCTGTTCCGGGCTGACCCAGTCTATCTGCGGTCGTATCAGCGGTCGTTGCACATTGCATCCCATCCTGCCAGTCATGGTGCCGGGGATGGGAGCTGCTCTGACGGCCGGAGCCGGATCGCAGCCAGCCGTGAGCATCGCCTCGTTGCGAACCGGTGATCACGGCCGCTAACGAGGCGGCCGCCGCTGTCCGGACAGACGGCACCTCTGCAGCCCAGGAACGCGGACCAAACCACCCGCCGCTGTCCGAACAGATGGCATCGCTGCAGCCCAGGAGTGTGAGCCAAACTGTCCGCCGCTGTCCGAACAGACGGCATCGCTGCAGCCCAGGAGTGGGAGCCAAACTGCCCACCGCTGTCCGAACAGACGGCATCGCTGCAGTCCAGGAGGGCGGACCAAACCGCCCTCCGCTGATGGAACAGACGGTACCGCTGTAGCCCAGCGGTGCTGGTCTAACTGCCCGTCTGCCCGGCTGCCGCCGACTGGCGTCAACGGCGGCGGGCGTGGCACGCGCCGTGGGTAGCGGAATACCAGCAAGTACCGATGGCAGAAATATTGACGATATTCATACTAATCAGTGGGGAAGGATATACACAACTCGCTGTGTCCCGGGCGGCTTCGTTCTTAGCCTGCTTCGGGCGCCACTGAATCTTGTTCCATCCAGTTAATTAGTATTCAGTCTGGTTAAAGTCATCAAACGCGGATGCTTCTTCGCGGAACCTTCCATTGCGCCTTATGCTCCAAGCAAGTGGTCACTAATAAGCAAATGCCTCAAGTGAAAGACCCTATTAATTAAAAAGATGCATGTTTTAATCTGAAAGACGAATACACACGGGTGTGCGAGTCAGCTTTAGAACAACATCGCCATTGTCTTGCAGTATAGCGTGCCGGCTGCTTGCTTATCACCGGCGGAACGTTTCATCAGTCCGTGACCGCTCAAGCTAAAATGGTCACATTGAAAGACGAGAGAAACGACGGTTAGTCACCTGCATTTACGAAGGTAGTATGGAGATGTCAGGCAACTGTGACCCTACAACACTCAGGAAGATATGTTGAGGGTATATGGCTAATCTGACACCTTTTGGCAAACGTCTCCCAGTTAATCAACTCCCAACGAGCGTGCACAAACTGATCAGCAAATGTTGCAGTGGCAGACCGCGGCACTTTTGAACAGTTTATCGAGAACATATCTGTGGACGCTCCCGCAAAGCGTGTATGTCTGTCGGTGAAGCTAGAAGGAAGCGGACGATCGTTGCAGCTACTGTAAAGCTATGCCTAATATATAAAATAACAGCCTTATTTGATAAAAAGTGTGCTAGTGGAAGACACACAAAACCCTCCACGGCATAAGATATCTGCTGACTTGGTTTTGGCTCAGAAAATACTAACAACAGTGTGATGCGGCCTCTTTTGGCACCTTCTTGGCAGCGCAACGAACCACTTAACCCCATTAAAGCTGGGCGCTTGTCGACTGAAAGGGTGCCCGTGACTCTAAGAGTCACTGAACGTCGCTAATTTCGGGCATTGTTTACGGTCCGGAGCATAATCAGGTGGTCAGGAAAATCCAATCTTGGAATTGGAGTCGAGATCAGGGAGTCGGGTTTGCCCTGGGAGTCGAGATCAGCGATCATGAGTCTATAGCGCAGCAGAAGGCTGTCAAAATGGTGGGGTTACCTATGATGGCTGTGATTTTGAATTTTGCCATTTGTATATAGGAGGCTAAGTACTTGAAAACATGGATAAACCCCAGGATGAAGGATAAAAGATCATTAAGCAGGGACTTTCTGCGGTTGGGGAAACGAGCTCCTCTCTCTCCGAACATCTTGAATGACTTCCGGGTAGTTCCTGGTTATTGAATCAAGCTGGCAGCGCCTGTCAGCTGGTAAATTTAAAATATTTCAGCAAAAATGAATTAATGATACATGAAGCTACGTAGTTATGACGCCAAAAAACATTCCCCTGGATGTTTGTTTTCACAGGTAATTCCCAGTTCCTTTCCCGTTCAGGTTCGTTCCTTGTCATGCACCATCTGGTTTGACTGCAGGTCAGTTAGGTCATCCACACTAACCAAAAGCACACTACGCTACCGGCAAAGCTCATGCGAAGTCAATTTATAAGAATCAAACCGATTTTTCCACAATTTTTGTTGCACCATGTTAACGCATTTTCCATCCACTGTTTAAAGACGCAGTCACCAAAGGTCACCGCAGATCATGTTGCCCGGAAGGAAAGAAAAGCCGCACCCAGTTAGCCGGTCTATCCGGACCTGACTTGACGTGTTCTTAACACGCGCTTGGTTGAGGGAGGAGGGAGGGGGTCATTTGAACCTCCGCCCCCGAAGGTTTTTTCCGGAATAACTCCTAAATGGCGCCGTGTAGCCGCGTCAATACCTGGTATGGCTGCAAGCAATTGCATGAACTCTTGACGCTCATTTAAAATTGCATTATTCCAAATACGTCAACAGACAACTTTCGTGGACTTCATGAAGGTCAGATGAGGTCATTGATCTACGACAACCCCGATCATCCTTTCAGCCCCGCAGGTCTTTGGTCATCGTCACCCCATGAAGGTCAAATAGGGTCACTGACCTGAATTGAGCGCCAGTGACCTTTTGCTCAGAAGAGGCGTTTATGTTAGAGGGAGCTGTATGAGGTCCGATGAGATCACTTCGGACATCGATCTGGAGTTTGACCTTGCTGGGTCTGATTCGACACGAGAGGCATAGCCTAGGGCTCTCAGGATTTGATGCAAGTGAGTTCACATACATGCCTACTTGCCCGGTAAATTTGTCGTCTCTAGCTCTCTTACAAGCATCAGAAGAAAAGGCGGCTCAGCGGTTTCCAAAAAACTTGATGGTTGCCTTCTTGACTTATGTCTATTTTTGGTCTCTTCCAAAGCTTTCAAATGCGTTTGAATCTCGTCTGTCCCGTAATTTTGAGTCCCACAGGTGCTCGAATACGCAAGGTGAAAACGGCCAGCAGAACTATGTGAAGTGAGGGCTCTATTTTGATAACGGCTGGCTATAACATTAAAAACGCTCCTAGATGGCTTGCGTTGAAGACTCTCAAACGACTAGTGCTGATGTCTCAGACTCAACGTAAACACATCTGTGTGGGATTGGATTCATGATCACAGCAGCAAAATCTCCCTTCATCTAAAACCAGCATCTGCATACCCTTGAAGGCCGCTACAGTCGCATACCCTTAAGCTCACTTGAGCGTTCAATCATGGCTGTAGGAGCCCAAGATCGGCGGGTCCGGTCGTCACGTTCGCTCGAGCGCCGATGATATCGGCTGTGGCGGAGCTGGACGCGGCGCGGCGCGCGCTGCGCACGGCGGAGATCGGAGCTGCTCGCGGAAGCTCTCCGGCCGCCCGCGGCGTGCTCACCAGTGCGCCGTCTGCAACTCATGTGGGGCCGATCGGTCATTCGGTGAATGACTCTGCACTGCCGGGTCACTCGGCACATTCGCTGCCATTGACTCCAGGACAACAGAGGGCTGGGCTGACCGACTCGAGCAGAACGCACACTCAGGCGGAGCTGGCTTGAGGAAGCACTATAGCACAGACCTCAATAGAGATGAGCAAGCATGAAGCGAGTTGAGTCTAAGGTATGAGAGGCTACAGTTTGTAGATGTATGGTCTTGGTTGAACTGTGGGCAGGAATAGCTAAGGGCAGTGAACTCGATGACGCTAAATATATCATCATTCTGAATGTCTACAAGAGTGCGGGTAGGACCTTGCCTATGTTGCCCATTTTGTTTTGTTAACTCAATTGCAGAGGCTCATTTTAAAAGACAATGACGACAGAGCTCCCTCGCCACAAATGCGCGTAACTCATGGGTGCTGTACATGAGCGCATGCAGGACACCACAGATACGTGAGCGAGGACAGGATGGTGACACCACAGATTGCGCAGACGGCCACTGGTGACGCAGTGCTTTTGACGCGCAGGGCGTGAGCCTGCGCAGATGGCCACTGGTGACGCGGTGCTTTTGACGCGCAGGGTGTGAGCCTGCGCAGATGGCCACTGGTGACGCGGTGCTTTTGACGCGCAGGGTGTGAGCCTGCGCAGATGGCCACTGGTGACGCAGTGCTTTTGACGCGCAGGGTGTGAGCCTACGCAGATGGCCACTGGTGACGCAGTGCTTTTGACGCGCAGGGTGTGAGCCTGCGCAGATGGCCACTGGTGACGCAGTGCTTTTGACGCGCAGGGTGTGAGCCAAGGATTTTTCCACAACTTTGCCGTAATCTTCACGGCAGGTCTTAGAACCATTTGAAGCATTCTGTCACGGCATCCTGATCCGGGTTTCCTGTTACCTCTTTTTGGTATCCAGGCTCCTATAGAGTCATACAGATGCGTTGTGTCATAAACTTGGGTGGGGAGTGAAAAGTAAAAAATGACACAACCTGCCCCGAAAATATGTTAGCAAATAAGATTTTCCAGGACTCGGTACTATTTCTTCTAAAGTCCGGGGATCTAGAGTCCAAATAAGGGGGAGGGGGACTAGAGCTCCCTAACTGAATAGGAAGCTACACCTTTTGAGTCATATAGCGGGTAAATGCCGGTGTGCCTCTGGGTGGTAACGGTCCATTTTATCAAACGCACAATAAAATGTAACAAACGCATCAATCCAGTCAGTTAGTGAAACGACATAAAACCCTACCTGGCTCACCGGTCAACTGCAAATGTCCTGTTTGGGGCTACATGAAAGCCGCCAATCAACGGAGACCAAGAGCACGGCGTAGACGCATAATCCATAAGTCCATAGATAGAGGAGTCACGTTTTTCCGGAAGTGGTATGTTTTGTCTTCAGGCCCAGTTATCAGTTCGCACGATCGTACCGCCTGTTGTTCGTCGAAGCCTAGCTGCACTGCCTACCCACCACGTTTTGTTACGGAGTCTCGCATTCGCGTTACCGACGCCCCAGTTTTCACTTAGCTCGTATCCAGGCTGGAGATGGCCACCAAAGCGCAGCCGCTCCCTTCTCACACTCGTACTCCGCTCAGCCACGCACATTACGCCGGAAATCAAGGCTGTTTATATGCAGAACGGGCAGGGAGACGGCGAGTGTCTACGTAAAGTTTAATGTTGGAGGCGGGGCGCATAAAGTTCCCGACGCAAAATCAAGGAAGCTTTGGTAAGGCTTCCAGGACACCCGCGAGGGTTGGCGTTGGAGCTCGGTCGCGCTTGTACTGTAAATATTATGCTGCACGTGGTCCAGTGACGCAGGCGGGGGAGGGGAAACAGGAGTACGTGCCCTCTGCCTCCCCTTCGGTCTCGACGGGACCTTCAGGCCCTTCGGGGCCGACAATTAAAGACCAGATTCGAAGCCCCAAAGGGCTCGAAGGGCTGGCCAGAGGTCGTATTAAGGGACCCCGGCCCGCGAGGCCGGGCCCTCCAAAACCATTCCGAGGGCCCGTGGCGCCACTGGTGCCCCCTTTGCCCCCTGAGCGCAGTGCCGGTCTCTACGGCGGTTAGGCGCTATCAGCACCTAACAGTCGGCTCCGTGTCGGTCTGGGCCTGATGACCCATTTCCTATGCAAAGACAGGGCCCAGGCCCGCGACTTACATTGGTCAGGGTCACTGAGTCAATGAGGGGCCCCAATTCGGCCAGGGAAAGCATTCAAAGGGGTCGGAATAAGCACCCGAAGGTCCTCCTTCTGCGGGCCCGGATCCACGAAGCCTGTCCCTCATATGTTAGTTAGAAAGTCTCTTACATCTATTAAGTTCCCCCGGGGACAATGCGCGCTTTTACTTTCATGAGAAGCCACTAACACCGGACAGTTGGCCCCGTACCCGTCTGAGCCCTGAGGGTCTGTTTTCTAAATAGGGACAAGGCCAGGGGCCGCGATTTGCAATGGTCAGGGTCACTGCAACAACGAGGGCCCTTGTTTCCGTCAGGGGTCCATGATGTCTCGCAGGATGTCCTATGCCGACAAGGGATTCCGAATCAACTAGGGAAGCATTAGTAGAACAGGGTCAGGGGCGGGACCCCAATGCTGGGGGCCTCCGGCGTTGGTCGAGACCATCTGACAGTAGAATGTGGGAGTTTATGGGAGTCCACAATGAGACAATGGAAGGGCACTGTGACAGTCTGTCCCCAGAACAGAAAAGAAGAGGGGGAGAAGCGGCTGAAACACGTCAGCCAGGGGCTCGATTTGTGCCAATTGTTGGACCTACAGCGATAAGGGACCTTTTTGGGTCAATGCAGGTTCCTGTGTTGATCCGGAGCTAGCGTCCGAGGGTCTCTCGTGTGAGGGTGGGAACCAATGTATTATATACCCCTCCAGGGACATCCAGACCGACCAGGGGACCCCGCCTTCATGTCGCCGGAATGGCAGCCGGTAGGCATCCCGCACTTGGACGGAATGACACTTCAGCCCCTGATCGGGAGCGATAGCGTGCCCATAGTGGTCTATCCGCCGGACTCTTATCCGGAAAAGGTCAAGATCCTCGTCAGTGTTCAATAAGATGGATCGACATGAGGTCAAAAATAAAAAGGTCAACCCATGTTTGCCTGCGGGCGTCCGTCCTGTTGCGGAGCCGACTTGTGAAACAGATGCAGTAAAAATCTGAGCCTGCTCGCTCGCGGTCTGAGGAGCGAGAACGCCGATGGCCAGCGTTATCAGCACCGTAAAACCGAGCGGTTTTGACCGTTGCAGATTACACCGGGCGGCGAACACTAGGCGCGCGAGAATGACCGTCATGAGGTAATGCTCCGAATGTCTTTCAAAATTAAGCTGTATCATGCAAAGATTAGATCGGGGCACATGTTTCGCCTGCATAATTTTGATGCCATCCTCTGAGCGGATTAAAAGTCGGAGCAGCGTGCAAAATAGCGAGTCTACATTTACTGTTCCAGTTTCGCCAGCAGATTTCATTACCAGTTTGCGGCGTTGTAAACTCTAATCCATTCATATCATCAATCTAAACATAACACAGGTGAAATACACTCCGGGAATATGTTCTAAGCGTACGAATTGATTTCCTAAAACATTTAAAGGAACTCTTCCAGCAAGTCATTATTTCAATCTGGCTGTTGGTAGCTCCTGGTGTCAACAGCGCGACCAACATCTCGCGGCCTACGAACCTACGACGTCGGACGCTGGGATATTTGGTTCCAAGACTCGCGAGTGCGCATGCTTCGAAACCATGTCACGTAATTTTTCCAGCAATCCGTTCTGAAAGAACGTTGAGCATTCTCAGACAAACATGGATTAGCTTTCTCAATACAAATTGTTGAACTCAGTTTGATTTACAATCTACGTTCACGGTATCCTGAATACTTTTGTAGAACCGATGCAATTCTGGAAAACCTCTGAGTGCTGTCAGTTCAGGGAAGGTTCACGGAACCATTGGGAAATGAATGGCGAAAACAGTGTATTTTCCTGCAGCCACTTACCGCTTGCTTTCTTCAGTCAATCGACTTAAAATACAAACAGAATTCCCTCTTGTGATAGTTCATGGCTGCTGTTCCAGTTGAAGACAAGGAAACATAATAATAAAACGATAACAACTGCACATCGAAATTAAGTGGGCGATATCAGATGATTTCTTTTTGATGTTTGTGTGTGTGGGGGAGGGGGGAGGGGGCTCAAATCATCAAGTGCAAGCCCTGTGCCCCTTACGAAGACTTCGGCTGGGCCTCTGACGGGCCCATATCTGTAAGGCATGCAAGCGTAGTGCTCCCCATGCTCATTAGGGTGTGTCATCGAGGGGGTGAATCTCTTGAAACCGGCTGAGACAAAATTTTTCCTTGGCACACGGATTAATGATAAACTTTCAGGTCGGTCGCACCGCACCAACGTTGGTATTCGTGAGGCGGGAGCAGTTTTTCTTTGGTAGGCCAGGAAAGCCGTCTTCAATGCTAGCGCCACCTATTTTCCGCACTGGGATCTTCCTCCAACAAATCTCAAAGCCGCCACTTTCCACACCACTAGTACTTGGTGGATTAAGCATGAACTAAATATCATGGAGAGCACCAGCAAAACATTGATAAACAGCTTTAATGGTGGCTTTTTAGTAAAGAACATTAATTTTTGGCGAAACCCAAAGCTGTGCAGTTATGAGAATGCTCCAGCAGACCGGCTTAGGTTCAAGTTTGTTATTGCTAACGCATCACTGTGATGTTGATTTGCAAGTTGTGTGCTTTTTACGTGGGACATATGGGCTTATTAGTGTAGTTTTGCCGGTACTGAAACATTTCTTTCGAACAATTACTGGCAAAAATATGCCAAAGGCTACACGGTCGCGCACAGAACATTTTGTGATAGGCCACCCAGCTCTACTGTCCCACCACCAACTGCCGACTACGGAAAAGCCTTGAGCTACATCAGGTGGCTGAGCGAATCGAAGAGGACTCTCACTAACATCATTTTCAAGACCGCGACGGTAGAAATCAGGGCACGGTGGACCAACGAAGCGATTTTCGTTCATGATCTAAAATACGCGACAAAATTGATCGAGAGGGATTAATATCCTCCCAACAGAGCTATAAGCAAGAAATCAAAGAAAGAGAGTGGCAGCCATGCCGCCACGGCGAAATTCAACAAACTTCTTGATGTCGCGAAATGCAAGTGCAATCCTCAGTGCAGCTTTCCATGACCAGTTGCCTGCACTGTGCATCAGGGGGAAGTTGCCATGAAGGACCAGTGCAGGCACCGGAAGCTCACCCTGGGGTCATATGACCGGGATATGACTGTGACTAGGAAGGCTCGCGAGGTGCGGAGGATGGCCAAACAACTCCAGGGGCGTCGTGGCTCGGCCGCCAGTGAGACGGTGCCTGCTGCTGAACCTGAATCGCCTTTCCCGCCGACTGCTGAGCCCGCGCCACCTGCTGAGCCAGCGCTGGCTGCTAGTACTGACCCTGAGCCTGCTCCAGGACCAAGTGGTTTCAGCGCTGGCGAGTCAACCGGCCGCTGCTGCTATCACCAACGCCTTTCGACAAGACAGCAGAGTCGGACTGACTTCTTGAAATCAAACATTGTGGATCCTAAGAAGATTTGCTGCGCAAGAGACAGAGCGAGAAGCGAGACGGCTCGTTAAAAATTTTTAAGCAATCCACGAGGCAGGTTTGGCCATCCTCCATTCCGACGGGCGGGAAGATAGGAGCTACTTGAGCCACACGGAGTCAGATGAATGCCGTCGAGAAACATGTGATTGTCATCACTGAGCCAGGCAGCCGCTGCGTGACTCATTTTGCGTCCGAATTCGGCTGCGCCCTGCACTTGATCAACGAGCTACACTCCGTGAGCCCGCAGTGCGGCGGTCACGTAAATGTGCTCGGCTGCGATGGCACGGCCGTCAACACTGAAATGATAGGCGACGTGTTCCGGCTGTTTGAGCTGGCCACCGAGTCACCCGTACACTGGTTCACCTGCCAGCTGCACGGCAACGAGCTGAACCTCCTCCATCTGCTGCTGACCTTGGACAGCACGACCCGGGATCGAAATGTTTCTATGTTCGTTTTGGGTTTCCAGGCTGTGAGCAGTTGCTGTTTGGGCCGGTGCTTCGAATACACAGGCTCGGCAAGGAGCATGATGTGCATGGGTTCACCCTACCGCCCCCCCTTCCTTCTCTACGTCCGTGGTACAGGCTGCAGAGCTTGCTGTATGTATTAAGTTGTACACCAGACAATATATTCTGAGTCATATGCTATACATAGTTTTGTTTGCATCACTATGGTTGTCTTCGAGGAGTGAAAGTCTAAAGCAATGCCAACCAGCACATTCGTACGAGTTCATACCCAAAAGCTTATAAAGTCTCCGCCAAATGGCAATCAATCGGGCAATGTCTGATCCGCATATTAGACCTCAGATCGGGGCATGCATTACGACCGCTTAAGGCGCGCTCGGCAGCATCGTTTCTATAGGCCAAGGTATTTTGTGTCGCTTGCCGCCCACGGCTTGGCGTTACCTGTGGCGGCGAACTCCGCTCAGCATGGGGTGACCGCAACGCGGGGTGTCGGTTTACGGTGATTTTTCAATCGACTCGCGCCTCACGAATTTGAGTTTTTGGGAAGAACTTTTGCTATAGCGTGTATTTTGAGACTCCTGCGCCGAAGAATTTCTTTGTCTCACTTGGTTTTGCTACTGATGACACACCCTGCAATGAACATTGAGCACACACAGCTATGAACATTGTTCATAGCTAAAAGTAACAACTGTAGTACAATTTTTTCAAGCATTTTATTGCCACACTAGTGTATTCGCATGCCGGTCCTTTCTGACTTCTCCATATACAGATGCTACATGAAAGACAAAGCTTTCTTTCTGTTCAGTTGTGTCTGTCCGACGTCAATCGTAAACGAAAGGTGGACAGGACAACATTGTCAAGTCAGCCCAGCCTCGTAAAGCATATGCCCATGTTTCCTGTTTTCAGCTCTGCTGTCGTCCATTGACTCGGCCTCGGCGTACCTGGAGGCCTTCGCTATGAACAGCCTGCAGCAGCGGGTGCCGGGCCTGCGGCGCCACGACGCCCGCACGTCCACCATCCGGCAGCACTACTACCCGGAGGGTGGCTGGGGCTGGGTGGTCTGCGGCTGCGCCTTCCTCGTCCACCTGCTGCTCACCGGCCTCCAGCTCAGCTACGGCGTTCTTCTGCTGCTCGTGCTCACCGTCTGGGGCCGCGAAAGCTACCTGCAAGCGGGTCAGTGCTGAGGGCCAGATGCCTATACCCTCAGGCGGGCCAATGATGGGCCTTAGCGAACTGGCACGGTCTCCGCAAACGTAGAAGCCAGTCAGCGCTGTGAGACTGTACCTATATACCTACACACCTATACCGTGAGGCCGGTCAGTGCCAAGGTCCAGAAAGTCATGCACTCGGGTTGGTCAGGTTGAGGCTAGATACATGCATGTTCAGGTTAGTAGCGTCGGGTTCAGACGTACAGGCACAGCTCCCTCCAGCCCGCAGGCTGGTCACTGCCGAAGTTCAGGTGGGAATGAAGTGTAGATACCATTCCACAGCTGCATCACATCGCAGCGTAGTACTGGCAGTGGACCAGCTGCACCTCATTGCAGCGCAGTACTGGCAGTGGACCAGCTGCATCACATCGCAGCACAGCACCGACACTATCTCAGCCAGCTACAACAAAGGCGTTTCTCATTGATCTGCCATGCTAGCCCGGTTTCAGCCCAAATTTCACCATTTTCTATCGGAACGGCTCGGTAGATATGTTTGGAAGCTCGGAATATACTGGCTGTCTTTTCCAGTTTTGGTGAAATATTTGAGACACTGTAAGCTATTTGCGTAGTTAGCTGACGATTTGCATATGCCATTCACGTTGGTTTTAGCTTCCAAAGCCTTTGAGCGTGTCTCGCTTCATACCAGGGAGGGGGGGGGGGGGGGGGCGGTGGACCAGCCATGTCAGAGAGTTCCGTGTGGGCCAAACCAGCCATGTCATGGAGCTCCGTGTAGGACGGACCAACCCTGTCAGACCCTGTCAGAGAGCTCCATGTGGGGCGGACCAGCGATGTCAGAGAGCTCCATGCGCGGCGGATTAGCAATGTCAGAGAGCTCCATGTCGGGTGGACCAGCCACATCAGAGAGCTCTGTGTGCGGGCGGACTGGCCGCCATCCGCGGCCCGTCCTGCCGGTCGCTGTATAATGTTCCGCCTGTGTGAAACTCTCAGCCGCGTGCCAGCCACGGCTCGTATCTGACGCCATTCATTTCCCCTCGGCGACTAATTCCGTCGGTTCGTCGTCTGCTATGAGCAGTTAAGCAGCGGGCGTCTTTCGAAACCCATCGTAACTCGCCGTCTCACGCGCTGCGCCCGTCTTGATAGCGCGCCGGTGACGGCAGCGCCACAACGCGGCAGCGGCCGTTGCGCGCAGCTGTCCGAGCCTAGCGCGGAGCGCGCTGGCCGTCCACGGCGCCGGGCCCATCAGCAGCCCTTCCGCGCGCCGTGCCACCATTTATCGGACAGCCGTCGGACGCGCGTCGGCGGTCGGAAGCGGACGGAGCGGCCGGCCGGGACGCGCTGGCCGCCAGGCCGATCAGCCGATGACGGCGTAATGGGCGCTCTGATCACCGGCGGCCGGCCGCGCTCCGGGGCACATGCGTGCCGCACAGTCCGGCCGAGGAGGGCTCACCCAGCAAGATGACACATGTCACGCCGGCTGCGGAGGGCTCACCCAGCAAGATGACACATATCACGCCGGCCGAGGAGGGCTCACACGGCAAGAGGACACATGTTACGCCTGCTGAGGAGGGCTCACACGGAAAACTCGCACATGTCAAGCCGGCAGAGATAGCTCGTTGCCACATGGAAGTTCGCTGCCAGCGCCGGTACTTGTCTTGTGGTAGTGACTTACCACCGTCAGACCGGGAAAAAATCAAATTGACATGATTCGAACTTATCTGTGACTGAACACGAACTTCTCTTAACTTGTCCGTAATTACGGAAACGGCCCGACGTTACGCAACCTGGAGTTCCATATCTAAGCATAGACTAGGGGGATGTATCCCGCTGGCGATGCATATACATATTCAAAATGCAAATATACCACCAAATGTACCAACACACGTCACTGGAGTGTTGGTTGTCCTCACAAGACGGAGAGAAAACGGCGCTGACGATAAGGACGCATCTGCAAGATATAACTTTTCTGCATTGCGCTCTACTGAGGTCAGTAATTATTGATAGAATGTCAGGGGTTGTGTTAAAATTCCACCCTTGCATCCCAGCAGATGCTCATTTCATGCAAACCATTTCCGCCTTGGACGGCCCGCAACAGCGACATGCGCGCTTCGCCGCACGCTGTAACAAATCCCATTGACCGCCGCAGCGCTGTCCATTTGTACAACATGCTATTACGGCCGCGAATCGTAGCGTGTCGGGGGAGGGGAGGGGGGGGGGGGGCGACTGTCCGAGGGCCAGTAATGGCGGCGTCATGTACCCCGTCCGATCGGAGCCTCTCTCCGCTGACAAATGGGATCGTTTGCGGATGACCAGCAGGATCCGAGAGCCAGCACTGAGCGTGGGCAGCCACTCAAGACCGGCTTTGTGGACGGAGTGCTGATGCATTGCACCCCGATAGTTATCGCCGGCTCTAGTTAGCCGGCTTTATATTTTTGTGAGTGATGGAGGGGTGGATCTGTGCCCACGGGATTGAGCCAGCGAAGATGAAATCCAGATGTGAGCCGCACCCGGGTTTGATACGAGCCACGGTTCTCTCTCTCTCTCTCTCTCTCTCTCTCTCTCTCTCTCTCTCTCTCTCTCTCTCTCTCTCTCTCTCTCTCTCTCTCTCTCTCTCTCTCTCTCTCTCTCTCTCTCTCTCTCTCTCTCTACCTCTTTCTCTTTCTCTCTCCCGCTCTTCCTCTCTTCCCCTCTCTCTCTCTCCCTCCCTCTCTTTTTCTCTCCCCCCGCTTCCCTTATGGCCGGACAGACTTTGAGGTGCCCCGAGCTCCCTTCTGGCTGTGAAAAATCTGATACTGTTTTCCACTGTCCTGCAATCTGTCTGACCAAATGAACTATGTGAGGCTGTGCTGCGATCTGACCGAACAGTCCGACTCTGCTGCAGTCTGGCTGGGCAGTCTGAACCTGTGCGTCAGTCTGCTAGTCTCCCCGGCCGTGGTTGGTCTGTGCCGTCGCAAGTCCACTCGTCTGACAGCCGTGCTCGGTGGTCTGGTGGTCGCCCTGGCCTGCCTCTTCACATCGTTTGCCACAGAGCTGCACCAGTTGTTCCTCAGGTAAGTACCGCCGGGATCGTCGGTGACATTACAAGAACCGCTTTTTTTCGCTGCACTTGACACAAGCTCTACTAATCACCGCTGGGCAGTGATTCACTGGATAAGGAGCCAGCCGGTATCTCCGCGCGTAGCAAAGATACCCATTAGCCCTCGTCCAGCCGCGTGCACGCAATAATGCCGCTGAGGCCCGTGCGGCTCCCGTTTCAGTTATGGCCTGGTGCTGGGCGTCGGCGTGGGCCTGACTCGCGAGACGTCCGACCTGATGACTGGCCAGTACTTCAAGCGGCGCCGCGAGCTGGTGGACGCCCTGGTGCAGTCCGGCTCGGGCCTCGGGCTGGCCGCGCTCTCGGCCCTCCTTCAGACCGGCGTCCGGTCGGTAGCCGACGCCGCGTCCGCCCGCGCCCCGCGCTGCCAGATTATTTCCATATGAATGCACTCTTGCTGATACAAGGCGGTGCCCTAATCAGACCCATCAGCTGCCGTATATTGGCCGGGGCTGGGAGGGCGTGGTGACTCGGCTGAGGTATCTGGAGCTGCACGTCAGCACGTGTGTGTAACGCACCGGTCGGGCTCGTACCCGGTCTGATTTTGACCCCTCCCTGCTCGTCTGTAGCCCATCGGGCGCTTGGCGACTCGCCACTACAGTATGCAGATTGATGCGGCTGCAGTGGATGATCCCACAGTCTTGATAAACTTCACCTGTCTGAATTGGGAATTGAGTATAAGGTTCTCATGCTAACAGGTATCGCCCTTGAGCATACCAGGAGGTGGTAGTTATCGATGTAGCGACGTTACCACGTAAACCTTGATTCTGTCGCTAATGCTCCACTTTTCAAGTTGTATTTTCGATCACAAATGAACAGGTCTATACAAAATCTTAATCAAAAACGAATATACGTGATCTACTAATAGATGAGTACATATGTCCATATATCGTTAACAATATATGCATATGATACACAAATGAACAAGTTTTAGCAAAATTTAAATTACAAATGAACATACGTCATCTAGAAATAGATGTGTGCGTATGTCCGATATCATTAACAATATATATATATATATATATATATATATATATATATATATATATATCATTAACAATATATATATATATATATATATATATATATATATATCGTTTATCGTTTCCAGATATATCGTTTTGTTTTTCCGGAAGTGCCAGTTCTTTTCCTCAAATGCTGAGGCTTGGCAGTAAAAATAACAACTGCTATTTTCCTACCCTTCTCCTCTGTATTTCGTCCCAGTACCTCAGCTGTTTGAAATGCCTGCATTCTGATCCATCTTCCGGTGACGGGGACGGCTCGAGTCGCATTATGCGCTTTTTATTCGGCCCTGGCTGGCGCGGGCTGCGACCGGTAGCAGCGTGTGCGGGAAGGTCAGATGACGTCAGATGTTGCTGCCCCCAGAGTAAGACATGCTGTGCCAAGCGCTGCGGCACGCTTAGTTTTCGCCGTAAGGATTTTACCGCTGGCCCCAGACATGGGCGCTGATCCGAGGATTTTGTCCAGTTATTTAAAACCGTAAATTGCACGAATCGTAAGCCATGACGACTTGATGACATAGCATAATGTGAATGTTGACATATTCGTGGTGGAGGCAGAAAGCAGCGAAGGCAGTGTAATTCGTAGATTTTTGACATTCTTCCCTGCATTTAAGAAAAGGGCTCTCTGGAGTACATGGAATGTTTTGTGTCGGGAACATAGAAATAGCCCAATCGTGCCCTGCATGTGTTGAGTATCTGAAGAAGTAATGTTTCTTACGTGACAGCGGTAATATACTTATTCCTCGTCGAAAAACCAGAAGAATGGAAGTAAAGATGCGTTGATATTTCGGCGGCATGCCTTTATCAAAAAGAATACCAGAAGTAAAATAAGAAGAGGCAGAAGTAAGAAGCTTGCCTTTCAATAAGGCCATGGTACCGAAATATCAACGCATGCATGTGTTTTTTGTCCTGGTTTTTGTACGAGGAATAAGGCTATTACTGCTGTCTTATTGCTCTTTATTATCACTAGTTTTGTATTAGTTTTCATGTTTATCATAACTACCTTTTGCGTATCTTGGAGAAGTATCCCATCATCGAAAATTGCTAGAATTCGAAACGAGAAATGTGACTCCAGCGATGCATCAGTAACATGGGTTCCACATATTCAACAACCAAAGGTTATTAGATAAACTGTGCCGCAGGCATGTGACATTTCACTCGAGCGTCTTTCACCCGAACTAAAACCTTAATCGGAACATGTCACAGCTGTTATGTGCGACGCAACCTCCGTATTTGTTTGGTCATGCCAGTACTCAGCCAGATGTGTCAGGAGCACGCGCAGTTTTGAGTTGGTAAAGACGCATTGTTATTGTAACTATCCTCAAGGGCCTTTATCACGCACAATGTTTCGCGTGTCCCAAAAGGGTGACGTAAATGACATGTCACCAACTGGGTATACTTGCGGTATAGTTCAGATTTTTATTCGCTCACTATTGCATTGTAAAACATGATTATTGGACCGATTAACAGCAACTTCTTTCGTAATATCGGAGCGGGATAGTTTAGTTGCAAATCATGTGTTTGTATGAAGTAACTGAATATGCATATGTTCGGTTGCATGCATGCGTGTCAGCAGCAAATTTACTTGGCTGACACTTCAACATTGCCCTTATCGTTTGCATTTGTACGATTACGGACATATTCAACCGCTAATGCTGTTGCCATACGCATGTATCTGGTCAATGGCGATGGATCTTAGTGTACGTATTGTCAAATGTAAAGTGTGATTCATTCTGAACTTTATTTTAACAGCCGTCTACCGTGCTGAAGCAAAAAAAAAAACATCTAAGTGGAGACGGTCACTCTCCATTGTCATTAGCATTGGCTGCGTTGACCTAGCACCGATCTCCGAGATTTCGTCAAGGGGATGCACAGACACTGTGACCAGCTGCGCAGCTAGAGACACGGTGAAATAGGGACACCACGGTTAACAAAGACCCCCTATTGGTTGAAAGACAACGGGGAATTCAATCTTCCACTTCGCCGGGAGATAACTCGCTGGATTTAGTCCACTTTATTTCGAGGAACGAATTCAATTATTAATTCGCTATGTTGAACTTAGGAGGCTTTCAGAGGGGTACATCTTACACCGGTCCCATCCCTGACGCGGCAGGCCCTCTTACCGGGGCGTATGGCACCGGGTCAGCGCAGAGGCCCTCACTGACGGGACCCTTATCGGCACAGGAAGTCCAACGATTGACACCGAGACGCCAACACCCCTTATCGGCCAGCCCCTCCTTCGATTCCGGGGCCTTTGAGTGGCACAGGGCCTTCCCGCTATTTTATTGTGTATTTTAAACCCTGGTATCGTCATTTCTCAATCTGCTGTCATTGTGAAGAGGACCCGACCAACGGAAAACGCCCTTTTGAGTTCCCGTACTTGTCCTTGGTCAGCAAATGTGTCCCTGTCTGACTAGGCGCCCACTGCCGTCGCAGGATAATTGCGAGAGGTTCCTCGAATAAAGAGAAGCCTTCTCATTCACATCTAGAAGCCCTGGCCTTGCCCCTGCTTTAGAAAGGGGCTTCCAGGGCCGAGTGCGGTACGATTCAACATTGGCGGTCGCAGTCAGCTGACTGACAGAGACCCTCACTGCCCCGAGGGGCCTCCAGCCGGTGCGAGAAAGGCCAAACCGGTGAAAGAGGCCCTCTGACTGACATTAGAGGGCCCACCCTGTGGCCTGGGGTCCTGTCATATCATCTCCGGCCTGGCCCTTGGATCCTCCAATCGGGCTCCCGATCGTCGGCACAAAAAGTCTCTTGGGACCCTCAAAACCTGGGATACTAAGGGAAGTCCCCTGCCCTTGTGCCATCCATCCCCCCATCCACCCCACGTGCGCCCTGATGGTGGCACCTTTGGAATTATGATGCCCCGGAATAAAGGTTTTACTATCCCTTTGCCGAATAGCCGATGCAGAATCTAGCCAGGATGGAGATCACAGAAGTTGTGGTGCCCCTAGATTTTGGTTACTCTTGAAAATGAAGGTTATGGGGTCCTTTAAATGGCCACTTTCGATTGGTTCCTCTTAGAAATAAAGGTCATTGTGGACAAAAATAAAAGTTTTGATGGTCCCTTACCAAATGTGTCGATCCAAGATTTCGTCGATTGGGAGGCACGGAAATTGAAGTTCCCTATGTTTTACTTACGCAAATTGTTTACCTCTTTGTTTGTTTACTTACGCAAATTAATGTTTTGCGGCTCTTTATTATGCTTCCTGGAATAGTGCACCCATTGGCAATAAAGGTTATGATTTCTGGAAATTAAGATTGCTGGTGCCTCTCGTGGAATGGGCCGATTTGGAATTTCGAGAGCGTGAAAGGCACAGTCACGTAACTCGCGTTAACTCTGGATATTGTTCCCCTCAAAGCCGAAGGCCTTGTGGCCGTTATATCGCTCGTTGGGATTTGATGCCTTACGGAAATAAAGATAAGGTGCCCCGAAATAAGGGTTTTGGTGCCCTCTCGTCCAAAACACAGATCCAGCGTTTCGCCAGGGTGGGAGGCAAAAGATGATTGTGTCCCAGGAATTTGATATTTCTTGAGGTAAGCGATGATGTCCCCTAATTAAAGTTTTGATGCAACTTTAAAGAATGGGCTGATCTATAATTTTGTCAAGCGATACGGCGGTCCCCATTCTACCTATCTGGGTCCGCTCCTGACCTGAATATCTAGGTGGTGTTCTGGACACCTGCGCTGATGTGCATTGGTGGCGTCATAGTGCGTGGAGTCCCCTCGTCGCGCAGGGAAGTAGTCTTGCTTTTCCGGTGTATTGTGCGGTGGCTGTCTCACAGATGGAGAGGGATGCAAAGGGAAAAAGCAAACTATGCTATTTAAAAAAAGATGAAGTTTAATCACTGCTTGAATTATCGCGCATGTACAAATTGACAATGTAATCAATGTTTGCTTGATAACGTCGTTTAATCTCTTGGTATTGGAAGTCG